TATACTATATATATATATATATTACACACACACACACAACACACACACACACATATATACATAATATATAAGTCATCTATAATAAACATACGCTATATTATCGCATACGATTATAATACTACTTATCACTAATAACTATATATATACATTATATATGCTCACCCCTTGTAGTATATAGTTACTTACTTATTGTGTCACATACTATTGTGAGTCTGATATATGACCTATAGCTATATATTAATATATTATCCGATAATATATATACAAACAAGTATTATATATTGCTCAATATATATATAACTAAATAATTATAAAAAAAATACACTAAACACTAAACCAACTACAATAATATAATCAATCAATATATAACTTAATTATTATATTATATAAGCTATATTAGCGATATATCACGTCATAATATTTACATATGTATATGACTACTATAAGTCACTATCATCATATTAAACTAAACTCTTTTTTTTATTAATTTAATAAACTTTTTTAGACATAATTATATATATACATATTATAGTAATTATATTATATACTATAACCATACATATACTGACCTTAACTATATACTGAATATACCTACTATATATATATATATATACTTACTATACACCGCTATATATATATAATATGTGATGTATACATATATTATAATATATACTATATATTATATAATATACATACATATATATATATATATACATACATAATATAACTATTATAACTAATTTATATACTACTATATGCTATATAGTATATATATAATATTATACTATATCTATGTATATTATAATTATATATATTTGAGTTGATACACCATCACTATATCTAGTATATACTATATATTATACTACTAGTAATATAATAATATATAATTATAGATTCAATACCTTACTATAACTATATTATATTACATATATATATATGATATGTATCAATACACTATGCCACCACACACACAGCACCACACACAACACACAACAACCACACACATAATTACGATATTAACTACCTATATACTTAATATGTATCCAATAAATATGTGTGTCGTGTGTGGTCGTGTGTGTGCTGACCTGATGTGTGTGTGTGTGTGTGTGTGTGTGTGTGGTCTGTGTGTGTGTGTCGTGTGTTTATCAAAGATATCTACTCTATCATAAATTCCGATATCTACCTATCTGATTATCCTATCTATCTACTCTATCTATCTATCTATCTTATCAGATCTATCTATCTAGTAATAATACCCACCTAACTACTAGTATACATAGTATACTATAATAGTATTTATACTACATAATATAATACATCATACTATATATAACTCCTATACTCTATATATTATTATATATATATATAGAGAGAAGAGAGAGATGAGAGAGACGAGAGAGAGAGAGAGAGGAGATAGAGAGAGAGAAGAGAAGCTTATAATACATATACTTCGATATATTATACTATATAATTTATATAGATATTATAATATACTATTACTAATTCATATATATATATCTATATTATTATATAATATAATTATACACTTAACAGTATTCTAGTATACTATATATATATATATAATACATATTATATAGCTTATAAATATATATCTATTACTGTAACTTATATATATTATCACATAATATCATATTATATACTATATCATAATAATACTCTCACTATCATATACTATATTATAACTATATAATATTATGATGACATATTACTCTATTCATAGTAAAACTACTTTCATCTCAGCAGACAAGTGAGCATCACATCACATCACTTAATTATTATAATATAATATATATTAGTATACATAATACCATTTTACCTAATATATTCATATAATATATGTAAAACTTTATTGTACAATATATACTATATATACAGTATACCACCTACTAATTACTAGTATAATACCACACTATATATATTATTAACATATTATATATATATATATATATAATATATATTGTGTGTGTGTGTGTGTGTGGAATGTAGTGTTTGTGTGTGTGTGTGCTGTACATACTCATATATAATAATATCATATATATGATATACGCCTATATATATTATATATATAATAACTACACCTATGACATCACCTAAAGCTAATTATATATATATAATATACATATTAAAATACTATAATACCCCTATCACCTATATTATAGTATAATACTACTATATATATGCATAAATATATATATATTATATATATAATATTATATATCAACATATCTATAGGAGTACTTAATACTATATTATAATATGTATATATATATACATAATACTTATATTATATAATATATTATATATATAATATATACTTAACATATCTTATCATTGTATGTTACATCAATAATACTATTATAGATATATATAATTATTATATAAAAAGTAGATTCATATAATCATACTACTATCATATACTATACTACTATATATGAATTTCATATACATATATTATTTAATATATATACTATACTAATAT